ATCATGTAACATCTGTCAAGTTCTTGTAGGAATCTTGCTATAGAACTCGAATGGTCTCATGAGATCATGTTTCAAGATTTGATTGTGTCATGCAAGAGAGTGTAAGATCTTCAAAATAAAATCTTGGAAATTCACACTTGTTCTTGCTATACAAGCTTCATGCAAGATAATGTGTGATCTTGCTAAGGAAAAGATAAAAATTTCTGCAGCAGATTCACTCAAGATATGACATGATCCTGTTTGAATGGGGGATTAAATTATCATTACTTTAATTACAATATCAATAATAAATCTAATAATTCACTCAATTTAACAGTTAACATCATTCCTTAGCATCTCGACATTTCTGGTTCAATGCTGCCGCTAGTTTGGTATGATCAAAATCAGAGTACTTGATTCTTAAACATTCTAAAGAGATTCAATAGAATTAAACATCTTAATAGGCAAATATACACATACCAAATAATATCTGCACTCTTTGTGAGCCAAGTGCCTTCTTAGAGCTCTTTTTTGTTTGAAACAGTATGCCTTCCTTTTGCTCCTTTTTAGTGAAAAGAGCATCAAGAAGATTGCGTCCATAAGCATATTAATCTTTTGTCTCCATTGGAAGTAAATAAATTCCATTTCTCTAGAAAATAATTATTATTATGCTTATTTCCTGATGCTACTTTAATAACAACATATTTAGGATCACCTGCGTCTTGCTTGCATCCTTGTTTCACATGTTCATTACTAAATCCATCTCATAACTTCTCCAGAATTTCGTCTAGTTTATGATCCATTGTTATTAGTAGGGACTATAGAGCGGAAGTAAAAAATAAGTAGCTATAGTATGGGGTGCACTAACATGAATATTGCTGGAGTTGTATTAGGGTTTCTTTTCCCTTTGACCTATAGGTGTACTTGATTGCACATTTGTTGCTTTAATAAGTGATGTAGCTTCATTTAGAAGGCTTTAAGTGTCTTCTTAGCAATGTAAAATTATAAGTAACTACATGTGTGAAAAATTTATGTTCGTTTAAAAATTTATTTTCCTTGAGGTACACTGCTCTTTACGTATTATTTAGAAATTTTCGAGGATATAAATTTTTGCAAATGATGAATTTGCAGGATTTCATGAGGCCAAATTTTTGCTAAATGTTTTGAAATGTCACCATTTTTTAATAATTTTGAGTTGAAATTAATTTTCATGTATTTTAATTTTGCAAATGACCCTCCATTACACAAAATTCACGAAAATTATCTCCTCAAAAATTTCCATGCATATATAGGGTATTCCTATAACATGTAACTAAAGCTGGTAGTTTTGGAGGGTTAAAGATTTAGCAAATTTGGCACAATGATACATTCTCCAAACTTGAACTCAAAATTTTAAAACCATTATTCACATGTTTGAGTGCACATGACCGCAAATTTGGCAACTGAATTAAAACCCTTCAATTTTAATTAAAATATCAATTTACCTCTTTAGCAGCTAAAGAAGCTGTATTCTTTCTATTAATAGTGAAAACACCTTTGTTCTTTGATGTTTTTTGTCCTGAAAGTGGTGGCTCAGTTTTTCCTGTTGCTATTTACCAAAAATAATAAGAATTTTTAATTACAACTTCACTTTTTTTTCAAATTATAACATCATATGACTCATCATCTTTGGCACAAAATATAACACTCTGGCCATGAAAGATATTATCAAAATCAAGCTCTTCCCCATTCTCATTGGTGATTGTTTCCAGAGGCGTCTGAAAAATTTTCCCTGTCTGATTGCACTTGACAGTGACCTTCACCACTACATAATTAATTTAATTGGTATACATTATTCTACAGAATGTATAAAAGGTATAATTATACTTTGTAATGTACTCCTTTTTGGTTGTTAGACCAAGCTTTGAAGAAGATAACGAGGAAGTTGCCATTTCCTCCGTGATCTTGGTGATGGAAGTACAAATTGTGGCGATCCATCTTCCCCTAAACAAGTTTCATCTGAATCTTCTCAATAATATCCTGCTCGTGACAACATACTACTGATACTAGCACTATAAAGATTACAGACTAGATTTGATTCTTGTCTTCTTCAAGATGCTGCAGGCGTAAAAAAGCACGTTTGTAGAACTATCACAATCATGTGCATAAGTAAACTTAATAACTTTTAATAATAAAGTGGCAACAAGTAGTAAAGAGTGAAAATATAACTTAGAGCACTGATACCAGAGTCAGAGGTCCGTACAAATCTTACCTGGTTGACAGTAGGAATAAAATTGTTAGAACTACATTATGGAGGAGGAACAGAGCAAGGTTTACTTTACTGTTATATATTCTGAAGCTCACAGTAATAATGATAGTAATAATATTATTGAGTATATATACATGCTTGCAGGTTAGAAAATTCTGATGCTAATAATGATGATAATGGTGAATGTGA